TTCAGACCCCAATAGAACCTGCAGGCTCCAAGAATGGTACTGGTGGATAGAGTCAAGTCTCCGGCGAGTGTCTTCCATATCTAGAAGAGAATCTTCGTAGCGCACTGCTGTGGACAACAAACCGAACAAAGCATCAAGCCGGTTGTGGGTGTGACCCACTCGGGAAGATGTCAGGTTGGTAACTCGAAACCCCTTCGAGGCTGCTAAGTGCATCAGGTAGCCCAGCACCGTCCGGTTTTTATTTTCCCGGACGGTATTGTCCGCCTCGGCTGGAAAGCTGAGCAGAACCCCAATCGCAAAGTCCCCGAACCTCGGCAACCTCCTCACACCCATAACCTCAACCCTGAAGCCGAAGCCTAAAGCCCCAACCCAAACCCCCCCAAGTCAGTGTTCTTGTGAATGACGGGGCCCTAATATCCTCCATGTTGGCACGACGAGCAGCCCAGCAAATCAACTCGACTGGCCTCCGAAGGCCCTTCGAGTCGCAAATCTTCATGACGTCTTCGATGCTTCGCGACAGCACCTGTGGGGCGTAGAGTTTAAAGGGATGCGGAGGCCAGGTGAGGTTTGGCTTGACCATGTGATTGTGCACTTACAGCCTCGACCGTCAGCGATGCATCGTGAGCAATGTTTGCATCGATCAGGTACAGAGTGAGCAGGTATCTTGAAGCCCAAACCCCCACAAGCTTTAGCCGTGGACGCACAAACTGCTGAAGAGCTTTGGATCCACGATTTTCGGGATACCTTGGCAATGCCCATTTGGCTTGGTCCATGCCATCAAACTGTAGTAGAAGAATAGGAGCATCACTGTTGTGCGGGTCCATTCCCTCCAAGTGCTGTTCCAGCTCACGATCGAAACCAACCGCACGTAAGTGGTCCTTATAATCGCGTATGAGCCCGAACTTTTTGCAAAGATCCTGGCATGTGGAGCGTAGCAAAGGCTTCGGTTACAGCGATTAAGCTGAGGATTTATGAAAAACCGGACGACCCGACAGCAAAACCTTACTGGCCTTCTCTGCCTTGATTTCTTGCTTGATATCGAAGCACGTGTTGCACTCGCCAAATTCGGATTGCGGGCGGAAAGGCAAGCAGGACTTCCACTTCTTTTGGTACCGGGTCTTGAACACAGTATACCTTGGAGAAAGATACTGGAAGAGTTTCCCTATTGTGCACATCTGTCGTCTATCCTGATGAATACTTGACTACCAGAGGAAGTTCCTGCTTCAAGGCTAAGGGGCGAGGCATGATCGTTGGGCTGGGTCGAACAGTAGTGACGGTAGAGGTCCATTATGGTGCCTGGGGGAAGATATCGGCGTGGGAGCTTCTGGATGTTGAACCCGTGGGTCGTCGTGATATGCCTCGGTCAGAAAGAAGACCCCTCGTCTCAACACAGCAGCACCATGAAGCAGAAGTCTAACAAGTTCTAAGACATCTCAAGACTAGCCTAGCCACCGATTCCAAATTTCCCGGTCAATGTTCACCTCTAGCCTTAGGTTCTCATCATCCTCCAGAGCCTCGCCCGGAAGAGCCAAGTCATCTTGGTCGAGGTTCTCTCCGACAGGCCCATCCTTGCTGGAGCCGCGGCGGTGTTGTTGGTTTGCCATGAGAAACCTGATGACTAAACAGAACCCGGATCAGAATCTTCAATGCAGGCTTACGTTGCATAGGAAGAGTATCTCTTGAGGCCAAGGCCCTGTAGGCAAAATCTCTGCAATGGTACCGTGCAGGCGCAGAAAGAAAAGATCCGCACTTCTCGCTTTGTGCTGGGCACGGTGCAGGGCCACATTACAACCAAATCGGGTATCCACGAACCCTGAAGTAGCTTTGCGAAGCCGTCCGTTTCCAATCCCCAGAGCTGTGCACAAGCAGTGCCGCCCCACTGTAATCCCAAGCAGACTGTAGGTTCTTTTCGAGATTTCTGCACTGTCTTTTCCAGCAGCAAAGCTGTCGTAGATCTTAGTGGGAGCACTTCCACTACATGCTGGATAAGTTTCCTACCCCCGAAGAGAAACTATTATTGTTGCAACAACCGGCAGCACATACAAGACCAGGCACAAAAGCATCCTGCTCAACTTTGCCCAGCGAACGGAAAGCCGTGCAAAACTCCAGCAAACCCTTCCTCTCTGCCCGCAGTCGCCTGAAGCAGCATCTTCGGGTGCAATTGCACTCTCTGCAAGCCAGGACAGCTTCGACGCGTTCTTTTTCCGGAAGAGGCCTGGGAATCCGAAAACGAACTAGGTCCAATGGTTCATGTCGCAACTAATGAAAACATGTGGGCTTTGAATGGCCAGTCAAGCTACTTGGGTGGCGGGGCAGCGGAAGCAGCAGTATCAGCTCGAGTCGAATTGTTGTATCGCCGTTTCGTGATTGTCTTCAGCACTGGTATCTTCTGCAGGCTCCTATAGTTGCCATCTGGCTTGCAAGTCAGCAAAAGTTGACAATTGCTATTTCAGAACCAAGCAGAAGCGCGAAAGAACCTTGAATACCGAATCAAGCCAGGATCCTGACACGTGCTCGCTGCAAGTTCTCCCAGGAAAAACCAGCAACCCCAGTCTGAAGCTTTGATTGTAACCGGTTTCCGGCACCAGAACCATCTTTGCTGCAGGCTCTGGCTACGGCAGCACCAAGATCCATGGATTCCGAGCGGCAGCACAACAAACACTCCCTAGCCCACAACTCGATTAGTTTTACCGAATAAGGCCACACTTTGCTTGGGTAGTCACCCCGGATCCAAGTTCTGAAAGGTGCTAAAAGCAAAGTTAAAGGAGAAATACCCTTAACCCCCACAAGACAAGACCATCAACCTGAAAGCTTCAATTTGCCACATGCGTACAAACTTTAGCCCTTAAACTAAAGCCCCGAAAGCGTACACCCTAAAACCGAGTGTTGCCTACATGCCTTGGACAGTGGGTCCATCAAGGACCACGAAGAAACCTCAAAGTAAAGCTTGAACGCTCTCTTCAAGAGCCAAGAAGCCTCCAAGCAAAGACTCGGAAAGGATCGATCTATGTTGAATGATAGCTCCGTCGACGACCAAAACGACAGCCATCACCGCGGCGATTGTTTTGACTTCGTGCTGGCCGATACTCCTCTGTCTGCTTCTAATTTCGAATTTAAACACTACTGGGATTTAGTCGGATCCGCTTTGCACATCTTTCTTGATCGCCCCTTTCTCTTGCAGATACCGCACAACACGGCGGAGACGGCGAGCGAGTTTTCGGGCTGACGGCCACGCCTCAAAGAAACGCAGCACACACAAACTTATAAACACAAACAAACACACACACACACACACACGTGCTTGTCAGCACGAGGATCTTAATGCGACCTGGAGACTGATCTCTCCAGTGACGGAATGATCGCTATCATTTTGCGAAGCTTGAACTTGCCGCTGCAGATCATCTGCAGAGCATCTTTGCTAGTGAACTCTGCCGCTGCCGTCTTGCCGTCATCATTGCTGCACCCGGATCTACTTTTTTTTCCCATATCAGCCGACTTTGGGGGTTGCTTCGGCTTGATGTAAGCAGCTGCAGTAGCAGAAGCAGAAATGAAGACACTTCGGAAATGATGCAGCACAGCACTGTCTGTCAGGAGCACAATGGAGTAACTCTCTGAATCAAGACTCTGAACCACTGGTTCTTGTTTTGACCCTTACTTTCTGTAGGGTTTTAGGGGTAGTACAACTTTAGGGTTTTCTCCGCACTCGCTCTGCATCAAGTCAGTCGCGAAGCATCA